TTGGAGGAAGATATGACCGGAGACCAGTTTGCAAAACTGGTATATTTACAAATGTACAGGTTGAGCAGGTATTGGGCTAGCAGAAACACAGGCACCCGGACGGACAGCGGCATCTATCTAGCAGCATTTTTAAAAAATCCTATTCTTGTTTCAGGTGGCAAAGATGGTTCCATTTCATCCTAATTTTTATCCTCCAAACCAGCTTGTGAGGCGCATTGGGCTGAGAGAGTAACTTCATGGGCAAGTGGGTATTGGAACCCAGTCCAGTGTTCCCTCTAAGCTGAGTTAGTGTGAGCCAGCTCACAGTTTTTTAGCCTCCAGCTCACACATTTTCTTGTCTTAGTTCAGGAAGGGATGCCTCCAGAGCAAACTGATTTCTGCAGCAGCCAAATCGCTCGCTCACAACTTTAACTCCAGGAGCTCACAAAGTTGAATTTTTGCTCACAAGACTCCACCGCTTAGAGGGAGCATTGGAGCCTACGTCTGCCCAGGCCTAAGACAACCCACCAACCCCTACTCCCCACTGACCCTTGAGTCCCACACCTACTGATGCACACCTGAGCATCTGCCGGCTGACTCTAAATATGCCATTCGGTTTGCTGTTTGCAAGGTCACTTTGTACATTTCTGGATTCCCCACTGGACGATAGCCGGGGTACTTCAGAAGGGGGAACTCAGGGGATGACCTTTCACTGTATCAACAGACAGGCTGCACCTCTGGAGGCTGGGGGCGTGGGGGGAGGTATTTGTGAATTTCCTGCATTGTGCAGGGGGCTGAAGAAGAAGGGATTGGATTTATACCCTGCCCCTCCCCACAACAGACACCCTGTGAGGTTGGTGGGGCTGAGAGAGCTCTTTCGAGGACTGCTCTTGGGAGAATGGCTCTGAGAGAATTTGTGACTGACCCAAGGTCACCCAGCTGACTGCATGTGGAGGAGGAGTGAGGAATCAAACCCGGCTCTCCCAGATTAGAGTCCATGCTCTTAACCACTACACCAAACTGGCTCACTGAATGTGCCAGCATGTTTCTCTCACATGAACCCATGAAGCTGCCTTGTACCGAATCAGACCATTGGCTTACAATCTCCTTTCCCTTCCCCTCCCCGCAACAGACACCCTGTGAGGTAGGTGGGGCTGGGAGAGCTCTTTGAGGGCTGCTCTTGAGAGAACAGCTCTGAGAGAACTTGTGACTGACCCAAGGTCACACCAGCGGCTGCATGTGGAGGAGGAGGTCCCTTCCATGATTCTATGATCTGTTTGCAGAAGCAGGGATATGTGTACCACCATAGGTTACTAACCTTTGGGTGGTAGCTGGAGATCTCCTGGGATTGTAACTGATCTCCATGCAAGAGAGATCCATTCACCTGGAGAAAATGGCCACTCTGGAAGGTGTGCTCTATGGCAGTCTACCCCACTGCGGTCCCTCCCCTCCATAAACCCTGCCCAACCTCAAAATCTCCAGGTATTTCCCAACCCGGAGCTAGCAACCACGGTACCACCCTACCCCAGATCACATGGATCAAATAGCCACCATTTCAGGAATCAATAATGTTCACTACACTACTATATAATGACAAGAGGGGGACCCGCAATACTCGCGGGGGGGGGAAGAGCTCCGTCTCCTCCATCCCCCCGCTCGATCTCCCCGAGGCGGCGGCGGCGAGGCCGGTG